GCACAGCCATACAGTCATCTTCTATTTGTCGAAGAGTTCGAGTTGCAAGCTGTCGTGGTTCCAGCCACCCTCAGTGAGCATTTTAAAGCCAAACTGCAAGTGTTAGTCTCTGATCTACCACTTTATAATCACATTACCTCCCCTATGTGATTCAGAACAGGGAACAAACCGGCCATCCTTGACCTTGTGTTTATCAGTGAGGAAGTTATTATCGACACAGTAGCAGTGAGCAACGTGCTGGGACTCAGCGATCATGCGATACTGCTTTTCTAATACGTCCGTTATACGGAGCACTCCAACAGGGACCAGGTAAACTTGGTATCGTAACGCACTATGATATGCTGTCTGTCTTCATGAAGGCCGCTGATTGGTCTTTCATAGCTGACCAAGCCTCTGACGTCGCTTGGCAGAAATTCGGCAACCTTTTCAGCACACTGGTAACAAACACATCAGAGACTAAGAAATGCAGTTCAAAAAGGTAAAGTCCTTTCTGAGGAGCCGGACGCGGAAAGCTATGACTTTGAGAGATTCACTTTTACAAGCATGCAAAACCAATTCAAACGTTGACGAATGGATAACTTATATAACCTAGCGTAATAATGGTGGCAGCCTGCTCCACGAGGATAAATAGAAACATCATCAGGATTTATCGAAGAGATTCTGCTCTAACCCCAAGCCACTTTACAGACATGTCAACAAACCGTAAAGTACAACGCGGCATCCACTCTCTGAACACTGCACACGTGCAAGTGCAAATTGCGCAAGAAGCGGCCAACGCTGTTAGGCAAAAATTCAATTGTAATTTCCAGAACTCACTGGTATACCCTACAATTATTACACCGATCACACCAGTACCAGGACACAGCCACATCTCGTTTACTATCGCGAACGTATTACAGCGACTGATGTCACTGCGTGCGCGCAGTTCTCCTGGTGCGGACAACTTATTTCCAAGGCTATTAAAAGTGGCGGCCAGCAGCCCGGATGAACTGTTGCCCCGGTTTTTCCAACAATATCTAGAAAATATGCAGGTTCTGGCTATGTGGAAGCGTGGAGTAGTTGCTCCCATTTACAAGGGGCAACCGCGCTGAACCGGCAAATTACGGCCCGAGAACGCTCCTCGCAGTTCTTTCTAAGGTCATGGAATCCGTTATTGCAGTGGCTCTCACGGAATACTTGGAACCAAGTAATATACTCGTACCGGAGCAATATGGTTCCCGCCGAAACCGCTCATGTACCAGGAACCTCTCGCTTGCCCGTGCCAGGCGCACGGAATCTGTCGACAATGAGGAGGGAGTTGACGCTGGACACCACGATTTCTCGAAAGCGCTTGATCGTCTTGATCACGACATCCTCCTTCGCAAGCTTTAGCGCCGTAAAATCGACGAACTAAGTTTGGGTTGGACACATGGATTCCTACTTCAAGATCGTCTAAATGTGACTTCGTCGCGCCTTGTCTCACCCAATAAAGGTGAAATGTCGCGGCATATAAGGCTTCGTACTAGGACCAATGCTTTTTCTCGCCTACATTAACGACCTCGTGGGTCATGGATTCAGAAAATTTTCTCCTTGTGGACGATCCCAAAATCTGGCGGACTATCAGGACCGTACACGACTACAGGACACTACAAGGTAACATCGATGGGGCTCACGATTGGTCATTTCAGAATATGCTGGAGTTCACGCTGCCATGTGTTGAGTACTGAGCGTACGTTACCAGAAAACTTACACATACCAACTAAGAGAACACTTTTTACAACTCGTCTCCTATAAAAGCGAGCTTGGTACACTCGTGCAGGCCGATATCGGTTACTCAAAACAGACCGAAACAGCAGCAAAGAAAGCCAACCAGCACTTGAGTCTCTTGTGGAGGGCGTTCGACCGGCTTGACGCCACCATCTTTAAACAAATACTCAACGCTTACGTTAGGTAACACGTTGAATAAGCCATCCATGTTTGGCACCATTGGTAAACGTATGTCCTTGCTGCTCTTGAGACTCCACAAAGATGGCCAACAAAAAATGTTAAGGGCATTATTCATCTCCCTTACCAGCATGGACTAGAGACCTTAGGAGTTTTCAGTGGTCAAGACCGTCACCTACGCAGCGACCATATTTTGGTATTTCAGATCCTAAAGGATCCAAGCCACGCACGTGGACATTTATTTAAATTAAGTCGCAACATCTCACTCCGAGGTCATCACTTAAAGTTAGCCGACTGAAATGCTGCCGGCAATTTTTCTCACTTCGTGTGTCCCAACGGTGGAATGCACGCCCACTTTCTGTCATCTCCACTTTGCATTGACTGAATTCAAAACGCAACTTAATAAAACGTTACACCACCTGCACTGCAAGACTTAGCCAACGTTACTGAGACACTTCATTACAAAACCAAACAACTTGCATATGTAAAACTGCTGTGAGTCCCTCGATATGAGTTACATGTGTTTTTGTTGAAACATTCTCATACTGTTTTCACTATTTGCTTGCGGGAAGTGTCAAGCTTTGCTTCTTTATCGGTGAGAAATACATTGATATATTGGCCTATGGATCGCATAGACAACCGTATACTTCTAAGTTTCGAAGCTGTGGACCCAGTGACATTGTGCTGGGTTGGGTAAGTAACTTCTTTATTCAGCATCGGCTGAGCGTGAGAGTCCGCAGTTCAATTTCCGACCCAACTGCAGCCCAGTTTGGTGTACCTCGAGAATCGGTGCTGGGACCACGTTTATTCCTAGTATTTACCAACGATCTTGCTATCATATTCCACTTGAACCTCCTAGTATACGCAGACGATTTCAACATCCGGCACTACATTAAGAGCTTAGACGATCACAAGACACTGCTGTATGATCTCGACAGGGCAAACACCTGGTCATCCGAAAAGTGGCTTCAGTTAGACAAGGTGAAAACCAAAGTCGTGAGCATACGCAATCCTATTACCCATGTAGATCGATTTGGGGACGAGCAGTTGCAACAGGCTTCTCAGGAAAGCGATCACCGGATAATCGTGCTGGACGACCTTGGCTGCTCCAAACGGGTCATAAAGGCACGGAGAAAAGTCAATCAGCATATTAGAATCTCATGGTGGGCTGAACGCCTACTTGAGGGCCCTATGTGGAATACGTGATCCAGGCCTAGCATTCCTGGTGTGAACATAATACCGATGCGCTTCACGCACCCCAACTTAAAGTGAACAAATTCGACAAGGAATTGTTTCCCCTTTTCCATTATAAACGGAGACTACAATCCATTGGATTGTACAGCGATGATAATCGACATCACTGAAGATACCGCATCATGGTTTACCTAATGCTGACGGACCTAATCCACACCTGTTGCGACCTGTTGCAATTACAACAAAATACTAATCTGAGAGACCACCAACTGAAACTTGCATCGTACTACAGTCAACTTGATTGCAGAAAAAATATTATCTTCCTGGAAGCGTCCAAACATAAAACTCCTTACAGCTCGCGTCATTTTTCGCTACATTAACACTTTTCATAAACTCCTTGACGACACACAATTCCATTTGCATTACGTGATATAGCCTGTTTCACTCGGAAGACTGAATAATACTAACCAACCTACGTGCTCATAAGCTCTCGGTAATGTATCCGTGAGGAAACCTGTAGCAGTGTTCATGTGAATGGGTTGGCGAGTCACTTAAAACCGGAATTTTGCTTCTTTTCCCTGATTTTTACATTTGATATCATACTACTCACTCATTTGTGGAGCGATCGCTTTTTAACTCGTTATATTTCATTGTTCATCGTTTATTTTTCTAGCAAGAACATCGCTAGAAAACGGTTACATTTGAGCGAATCAGACAAATCCCGGTCCCAAAATGGTCAGTTCAGAATCCATTAACATACAATGTAGAAATGTGTCGGGTTGTTTAAATAGGCCGTGGACACGCCTACATTGACAACCGTAAGGTCCGCAGTTTACAAACGAGCACAGGAAACGCGAGCTTAGCGTGCTCACAAATAACAACTTGAACTGTTCAAAACAGCCCCAGGCAGCTTTTATACTAGATAGCCAGCAAGTTTACCTGTTACGGGTGATAACTGAGAGTGGTGCCCCATGTATCGTCAGTATAACGCACTAACCTGACTTACGCCACCACCATGAACATGCCGTCCAAGCTTGGCAACCTAGTCTGAAGCCCGCTTTCGCTGTGCCACATATCCTATATGGGTTCACATAACCTGTATTACTATCAAAGGTCGAATGCGTTAGGAGATTTCAGCAGACAATACCAATTGTTGCACTTATTGGTGAAACGAATGCTGAGCGATTCCACTCATTTGTGCCACCAAGTGTTTGAGCTCAGATATAACAACGGCTTCCAAGATAACCACGGGAAGCCTAATAGGTAATACAGCCACGTAGAGTGTTGATGGAACTACTTTTCTGCTCGGTTCTACTAGCAATGAAAGATGACCCCAACCTCAGCTGTTTTGCCCCTACCTTACCTTTTCACAAAAAAGGATTGATTTCGGAACTTAAACCGTGATACAGTGGGATACCTCTGTGCTTTGCCCTTATTAACTTCGTATGTCACGTAAATACATGGAAAGCGAAATGTAGGTGAGCACGTTTAATTCTTCCAAGAGAAACGCTAACTATAGCTGCTACTCTGCCGTTTGGAATGTTCACATTCAACTCGCATTTCATGCCATCCTAATGTAGTGACGCATTTAAACAACGAACTATGATTTATCACGGATAGGAAAGCAGGTGCCTGACAAGTCATGTAGGGTGGTCGGGGTGAAAACCACAAAGTCAAAAGCTCTGTGAGCAATTTGTTTGAGCGTCTATCGATTTAAATGGATTACTTAATAACTTTAATGTTATGTGAGAGTTGAGTGCGAACATAGACGAAAATCTGGGCGCATTTATGGTCGACATATTCTGTGAGAAACCTAAAAACAAACGGCTCAATCAGGTGCCATTTCCATAGGTTCGGGTGACACATAAATTCGGTGTGAGCGCATAAATAATGTATTCTAAAATACTGCAGCTTAGGAACCGAAGTGATGGAAGCGAAGGGTAACAGCTAATCGTTTTTGGAAATTTTCCAGTTGTGCGAGTACAAAGCTGAGTTTGTGTGAGCATTGTAGCGTTAGCAAACGCGAAGAGAAAATTATTGCTGTCAGCCTCCTAGACACCGTATTTTTCACACAGTTTCAAGCAGTCCCCTCTGAGTTTAGTGTTGAGGCTGAGTTTCAGCACATGGCGACATACGTAATAGGGGTCACTCAATATTTGGTATGGCAATATATTATATCGTAGCGGTCGGTAACGCCCGCTGAAAACCCCCAGTAACTCAAGCCGTTGCTGGTAAAAATGCTTGCGTAGACCATTGATTTTCTTTGTTACCGTGTTTTTTAATGTTTCTAGTACCTCAAAGTCGTGCTTCATCCAAGACTGCTAAATCTGAATAGCGCACCCAATGTGAGGATGCACGTTGAACTTGTGAATTGTCAGAAAGCATGACGAGTCAAATCATCCTGATACACTTCGCGACGTGAGGACGTGCTGGTTGACTCCTTCCGCAGTTGCCTCTGCTTGTCTTAAGCAGTTGAGGTCCATCTGTATGAGAAAACCAATGTCGATTTCCTCGGGAACTGATATGCTAACTATGTGCCTCAAGTCTGTAAGCATAAGCACGGCTATGGCGTAGTCGCACAACTCAATTTTTTCTACACTAAATAGTACGATATTAGGAACTTACCCCTACTCAATCGCGTCAACATCGCGCTGGAGCCCTTCGTGTTCTTCCGGTCCTCTGTTCTCTCCACATATGTTAATATTATCTTCGGAGAATAAGAAATCGGGGACAAGTGACATTAGTAGATTGTTTATGCAAACCAAGCTTATGTGAAGTACTGATACATGGCCGTGTGGCACACTGCGTTCCATCTCAAGTGTATCGGACAGCGATTCATAGACTCTCACCTCCGGCCGGAAATCAGTAATCCAAACCAAGCTTGCCGTAGTTTCAAAGGTTGTAGAGGAGAATTTCTTGGTTTAAGCGATCGGACACTTGGGAGAAGTCCAGGTAGATGAGATTGACTCCTGCTCCACCATCAACTATTTCAGCGCAAATAGTACATGCAATTAGTAGGTCAGTAGTATGTGAGTGCTTTTGGCAGAAACCATGTTGCTCTGGAGCAAAGATGCTGTGGTTTCTCCGGTACTGCATCCGTGTGTCTGCGATGACTCATTCAATAACTGGAAACCACAGAAAACGGCGTTATCGGACGGTACTTGTGAATAAGAATGATGACCCCCGGCCTCCATTTTGATAGAACTTAGTTCTGTTCTGAACTGCGCAGATAGAAAACGGCCGGTAATTCTGCCAGACCACCGTATGTTGCCTGAAGAGCATTCTATCGAATGTCATTGACTCCAGAAAATTGTGGATGTGCAGGGACAACCGGTTCTTCAACACGGCTAATTCAAGGCAGGGGATGTTGGATAAACCTGACGGTAGGGTAGGCAAAAATGTGAAGCATGTTTGGACTCGTTGCACTCTGGAATGTATGGAACTAATGAAACCGTAAGATATCCGCGGTTTCCATTGCTGAAAGCGTTTATCAATCATTCGTAACCAGCGTTGGGATTCTGCACTGCACCATACGAAGGCCACTAGCGCATCTGCACAACGGTTTGTGGTTCGTGCAGAGTCACTTCATTAACTTCTGCTGATGCGTCATCAAGCTCACGTGAACATCTCGCTTTCCATGTATGCAGTTCAGGTTTCAGCATTCGGACAGCCCTTGTGAGCTCGGCATACTAAATCCCTCAGGGAGATGCATCTGCGCGTTCTGCTCCTTAAAATTGAATTGCTTTTACCTTGAAAATAGAAGGATTTCTACTCTGATGCCTACGTTCCCAATATGCTAAATGGTTTTCTGAACGTTTTCCAGGGAAATTCTGGGAGATATGCAGTTAAGGAATTTCGAGACATCCCATTGGCAACCGCTGACTTCACGTCGAAGTGCATGATAGAATGTACTTTATCATTTGCTTATACGGGATAATCCGCATAGCATATGTAGTCAAATGTAAAATACTGGTCATTGCGGTCTAATGATGCGTTTGTAACTATTCCGTTGATCATGCCTTTTACGTTGGTCAGCACAAGATTAAGTAACGACAGCCACTTAGCAGTTCGCAATGCAGTGAGATGATTTGGTTGGAAAGTAGCTCTTGCAAACAGGCTTTAACCTGTACACCATCTGGTGATAGCATTTTCATGTCGCGCAAATTAGTCTTCAACGATAGTGATGAGACCGTATGAAGTGTTCAGCGCAACTTTCAAAAGGTGATTTAGCTTGTTCTCCTTTTCCGACGTACAGTTTGGCGGGTAAAAGATTACGCCTACAGGATATGTGTCCATGTACCGCAGCCATAGCCGGCAACAAAGCAAATCACGGGCGCAAATTTCCGGATGATTAATACCTTCAGCATCGGATGTCAGCTTTGTGATAAAGAAGTACCCGACCACTCGTTCCAGTTCTACCGTTTCGTAGCAGAGACATAACAGGCAAATTAAATCTCAGAATCCGTTATCTCCAGGTTTTACCAGCTCTCTGTAATCATGATTAGATCCAGTGGTTGTGAAGCCTGGCGCTCTCTAAGCTACGCCAACTTAGTAAGAAAGTATTGGGAGTTTGTATGGAAAATGGCAGACGTTTTGGATGTTAGGACTGAGTTAGTGGAACTCAATATTTTGCTTGCTCTTAAGCCGACTGTTTGGCGGTCGGCCAAAAATCCTTTTGTTATTCGTTCGTTAGTGCTCGAATTTCTGTCGAGTTGCACTGCTGCACAGAGCGTTCTAAATCTCGCTCTGTCCCGTCGAGTGTTGCATATGCAGTTGTGGCGGTCTCTCCACAAGACTGTGAAGACAAAGATTTTACTTAGGTTGCAAGTTCCAGCAAATTGCTGACCACTCGGGGTTATGTGCCTACTGCCTTTAGTCGAATTTCGGTTGGTAATCTGGCCCGAAAATTCAACCCCTTATCCGAAAGGGCTTCTGTCATTCTTTCGGAGTGCAGCATTAGTTTCATTAACCTTGGACCACAGTACTTTAAGTGGTGAATAAAACCTTGTCAACCATTTAGTTATAATAGCGCTCAGATTGAGTGCTTTGCAAATATAACATCGTTGCCGTCGGTTAAGTGTTTGCACCTTGTGATCAAAAGAATCCTGGGGCTCGAAAACAACATGAGCAAATCTGGTTTCCTTGATGTCGTTTGTAAAAAAGACGCCTTGGTTATCCCCTTCCTTTGGTCAGCCTTTCCAAGTGAGAATGAGTAACATACACACCCCGCTCGATAGGTTACAAAGACAAACTGTTCAAGTAGGACGCCTCAGTCTCATTCTGCATTCAGCGGTACTAGAAGAATTCGAGGTCCACTGTAGTTCACTGGTTTTGAGTGACACGCTCGCGTCTCAGCATAGTGTGTTCAACTCCAGGATCAATCGCATCGCAGATGTAATTCTACTGTTTGCGGTCTTCCAGCACCTTGCGCTTTGCTGTCCTAGATTTGCACTCGGGAAATTTAGTGTACACGAGAGTTAATGCATCTGGGCCCTGCCTAGCGAATGTTTGTTGGAGACTTCATGCTGGTGATGTTGGATGTTTAATAGGCAGTACTGGAGATGTCAGCAAAAGCCGCGTCGTATTTGGCTTTTGCCAACAGCATATAATCCGTTCACAGTTTTAACGATAAGTAATTTATAGCATTGATAATACTAATTATATTTGTAGTGTGACGGACACTGCTAGAATAAAGAGTCGGCTAAGCTCCAGCAATGAGGAACGAGTAGGACGAGTACGCGAAAATCCGGGGTCTATTAGGAGAACCGAACGTGAACCAAACGCGGGTGAAGGATTCACACTGTACAGCCTGCACTATCCGTTCCAGTTCAATCATGGGTACTGATTTCAAATCAACACTGGTCCGTCGATCGATATTTTCCGGTACGTCAGGAATCAGCCGGGTTGACCTTGGTCTCAGATCGTTCTGATATTTGCGGCAGCTGGTTGAGTAAACGCGATTCATATGCTCCGCTGGTTAGCGCTCGAGAATCATACCCACCTAGCACTTCCCATTAGGTTGTTCGAAGTATGATTTCCGTTTTGGATCAAGCAGTAAACGAAGTTATTGGCTTACATGTACGGCTGGATTTGCGTCCTTGCTGGACAGGTTGTCTGTCTAAGGGACTAGGTTATATGTCGTTCTGGCTACATTAGGCCTTTTGATTTTGAACGACTCCAACAGAAGATCAGGACTAAGATATCAATCGTCACTCTATGGATCACAACAAAACGTTCGATGGAGTTAGTTAGCGTGACACCTCCACAGCAGCGGACCCACCTGGAAGTCGTACGAGAAACGCTAAATATGTCCTTTACTGATGCCGACAGCCCATTTTTGATGCACACAGCGATAGCCTCTAATGTTTTACGCATGCCACGCAAACGGTTGTCCCGACGCGCTCTCCTCGCTCGCATCGGACCAGGCTGGGAGAAATCGCGCACAGGTCAGCCTATCACGTGATGGCAAACGATTAAAGCGCTGACTTCCAGGTTGGCTGTCGCAGGTCCCGTTCGTCTTACGCGCTGGGGGATCAAAGATGAAGAACACTGCTGGCTGGCTGGAAACCATCGCAATGACTCTGGACTTTATCGTGGTGCCATGGTTTGCGTGCCTCAGAGATCCATTGAGCTATGCTGGGTGGTGCATTTTTTGCACCTTCAGAGCCACTCGTACCAGATTGGTCAATGATTAGAGGCCAGACAAACTCAGCTTCCTGGTCCTCCAGGTTGGGGGTTGGAATGGGGGTGGCTCCTCATTTCATAAAACGGGCACTGTACTCCAGTACAAAGACCCCTGCCTTGCGGTCAGGTTTTCGAACCAAAGGCTTTGGTTGAGAACCCTAATCGTTCTCCTGTCTAGGCCTGGGCAACCTGACAGTACTTTGCCCACGCAAAACAATGAACCTTTCCTACAAATATTTCTTGATGCTCTGGCCGTCGCAGAGGATAATAAACGGCGCCCTATCTGTTGTATCGAGCAGGGTGGATAGGGGTATGGATGCTACTGCTCAGGCCTTCAAGTCTTCTTATACGCCTTCGTGCGCTTCTTCATCCTTACCGTCCCGCTCCAACTTTACTTATATCCATTACTTGGCCTAACTTACCTTTACTTATACTTTACTTATATCCCCCAACGACTTAATTGCAGTTAGATATCAATCAGGGTGGTCCACTGCCGTCGCCGATGGCCCAGTGACATATCTCGCTGACTGACAAGAGTAAGGCCCTAATACGATTTCGGTAGGATTCAGCGGGTGCGCTCTACTGACGAGTCCCAATAGGAGGAAAAGGGAGTCCAGCGCTTTACTGGAAGTGTGGTGGTTCTCCGTCTGTGTCTAACTGCGGTAAAAAATAAAACTAAATTTTAATCGTTGTTTATTTCTGGATAAGTATCCCTTCACTCGGATAGATGATCTGTAGGCTACGCTGGCAAGCGGAGAAAAGTTCACACAGATCGCCCTCAGTCACGCGTACTTACAGACTGAGTTGGGCGAGACCTCACGCTCATGCACTACGATAAGTACACCAATGGGTCTATTCCAGTACAAACGTTTGTCCTTCGGCAGCAGTTCAGTCCCGGCGATATTCCAAAAGAGCATGGACAACCTGTTCAATGGTATTCTTTTCACTTTCACCTATCTTGACGACATTCCAAGTATAGGACGTACTGATGCTGAACATTTACAAACGCCATCCACTGTCCTCGAACGTCAACAACTGAGTGGACTCAAATGGAAGAAGTCCAAGAGTACGTTTTTCTCAGATCTGTTCGTTACCTCGGTTACCGCTTCGATAAAAACGGACAACACGTGTTAGAAGACAAAGTAAAGCCCATCCCGGTCGCACCTGAACCCAAGTATAAAGCTGAACTCCAATCGTTTTTGGGGATCTTTTCTCACTATCGTCGCATCGTACCTAACGCCTCAACAGTATTCGCACTCTTGTACGAATTGTTGCACAAGAGGAAGTCCTGGGCTTGTGGTCCGGATCAAAGAAAGGCCTTCACAGATGCAAATGTAGTGCTCAGCGCCTTCCCGTATCTCACGCATTTCGATCCGAGTCGGCCTCTAGTACTGCAGCGTGATGCATCCCCACCCGGAGTAGGCGCAGTCCTTTGCCACAGGGTGGATGACGGTTCTCTTCGTCCAATCGCTTGTGCTTCTCGCACCCTGCAACCAGCTGAAAGGAATTACGCGAAACTGGACAGAGAGGCATTAGCGATTATTTTCTGAGGCAAGCATTTACACCAGTATGTCTGAGGAAGACAGTTTGAAATCCACACTGACCATAAACCACTTCTTTCGCTTCTGGGTGAGGAGAAAGAAATCCAACAGATATCTGCGAATCGAATGCAAAGGTAGGCACTACTGTTGAG